CTTCAGCCACTGCTGGACCTGGGGGACCCCTTGGACCAGATAACCCCGGGCGCTTGTCCACCATGCGCTCTGTGCAGTCGACTCCCCAAGGGACCTTGAGTGGGAGCCAGGGGTCCTGGAGCTTCATCTAAAGTTGTGCTTCCTTGGGTGGTGGGTAGGAGACTGGGAACGGTCGACCTGCAAGGTAACCTCTTCAGGCTGCCCCACAGGCCTACGGGGCTTGGTCGTTACTTTTCAACAACTGCGAACGCGCAGTCAGCACCGGGAAGACTGCAGAAACTCCGAAGGCTTTGTCTCCTGTTAACAGCTTCCCTGCAACCAGCACGGAAGACGCTGATGTAACCGATCCCTYTGCTCTCCATCCGGTCCTGGCAGATCTAAGGGAAAGACAGACTGGTCTGGGGCACTGGGCMATAGCCAGCTTCAAAGGACCATTGTGGTGCAGTGACACTGAAACTGAATGTCCTCAGGACAGCACATCAGGATTCACTCCCACACAGCCAGCACCGCTCACAGGCATCCTGCAGCCCCAGGAGCCAAGAGAGCTGTGCCTGAATGCAGTCAGTTTACAGAGCACTAGCCTCTGGTTCTGTCTTTCAAATCAGAGGGGAACAAAAGTAAATCTAGGTTGCAAACTTGACAAACATTAGCATTTACTAAAAAAAGTACTTTGAGAATTACTGCTTCCTACTAAAACTCAATACAAAATCATCTCTGTTCAAGCAAACTTAAGGAAGATTAAATCAACTTAAAAATGCTTTGGAAAAAGCCTTAGATTGAGTTTTTAACAAGAGGAGCTCATTAGTATTTGGAGGGCATGGTTTGTTCAGAAGCACTGCATCATTTGCTCAAAGATGTCCAAAACATTAGGGGGAAAAAAATCACCCCTCACAGAGTTTTCTATCTCTGGGAGCAGCTCACAGAGACGATAGGATAAAATGGACACATTCAATTATCCACTGTGGTTCACTCTGCCCTGGGAAAAAAGTGGGGCCAAGTGGGAACAGTGAGTGCCTTTGAAGGTCAGGTGTTGAAACTGCACTAAACAAGCAGAGCTGGCTCGACACAGCTAGTGGTGGCCCTACTCGGCTTCATCATATTTCAGAAGTTTTCTGCAGTMATTCCTATTCATCAGTGGTGAGCATGAACATGGGACCTCGCTGCTGGCTGAGTCTATGATAAATTTGCTAAGCTGCAGCAAAATAATGTGTGGATCTAGTAAGTAACCAGGTAGTCACTCCTAAGTCTGTCACCTAGCACAGTGCCACATAACACTCATCACTGTGCAGGAAGACACCCAGCAGTGCCAGTTTCATTGACTTCACAACCAGCATACCTGRGCTGCTACACATTTCAGGTAGACAGCAACTCCTTTTTATTTGTGGGGACATGGTACCACACATAATACACCTGACAGCTTGTGCTGCCCTCTCTTTAATCACAAAAGGGCTTAGTCAAGTGTACCTTCGACTTCCTGCTTTGAACCATCTGCAAATCCAATGCTTCCTAAGAATCATAGATTACTGTTACTTTTTTATTTTTTTCTATTTTAATTTCAAGCAGACTAACCTTTGGTAAAATAATATTTGTCAGGTAAAATGCTAATGTTCTAATTCTGGAGCCTTCCCAAAGACAATAAGACTTTGATGCAACATGAAATAAAATGACAATAAAAAGATAGTTACTAGAAATTTTTTTTTCCCAATTGAGAAACACAGTAATTTGACATATCCAACATCAAATTAAACTCTACAGACCTTGCTGAGCGGCTACTGCTCCAAAATGTGAAGAGCATCAGGGGTTTAAGGGTGAGTGAGTGAGTCCTGTCCACGGGGACATTGCTTTGTCACTCCTGCAGGGGGCACTGAGCTCACCTGATGGCTAGATGTGGGCAGGTGGATAAGGGCTGGGGTCATCACCCTTCTGTCCTGTCCCTCTGCTTCTATGTGCTTTAACACAACTCTCAAATTTAGGAAAGGAAAGTAGGTCTTAGAGTCCAATAGAGGTCACATTCTGCTACATGGACAGACATGCCTCAGAACTTAACCTGTGTGCATGTCACTAAGATCGCAGAAYTTTTATTGARTATTCTTGTCCTATTTTGCTATATGAAGGGGGGTAGTGTTAGGCAGCAGAGATCAGAGTGTAAAACTCTAGTAACTGAGCCAAAGAAATGGGAAGAGACTTCTTTTCTATAATGTTCTTGATTAGCAAAAACTTCATACGTAAGTAGCAGATACTTGAAAACTATCCAAAATAACCACCAATTTTCAAGCTTTTATATACCAAAGGGAGGCAACTTTAAATAAATAAGAATAGCAATTATGAAGTTTAGTTAGGCTAACCTTTTTAGAATTCAACCATAAAAGTCAAAGTGAATCCTCGTGTTGCCTAAAGCACTACCTAGTTTTTGTGCAGAGATCTCTCTGTTGGGAGGCTGGTCATAAAATGCTGACCGGCAGGATTGGGAGGTACTGAAGGCCACCCTGCACCTGACCATACTCTGCCCATGTCATGTCTAAAATAGAAAAAGGCTGAGATCTGACCAGAGCAAGTGCGCATGTCATTCACATTTGGGGTCTTTTTCTACTCCAAGACGAGTAATAAAAAATAGGGAAGGAAGCAGCTGCTGGGTCACCTCAAGGGGGAGCCTTGAGAAGCCAGGACCTGGGGGTTCAGTGGCACCTGCTCCACAGGGGACAGAAAAGTCCTCCTGCTGTCCTTAAATCATGAAGGCTCAAATACCAGTAAAATGTGTCCTTCTGTGAGAAAAAGCTCTAAAAACTGTAATGACATGCAGATTTAAAACATTTAAAATATCCACATCAGTACAAAGAAAGTGAAAGTCTCTCTCCACAGTGAAGCAGCACCCTGCCCACCACAGTGCCATTTATGACAAGTGCTGGCCGGGGACACTGCACCCTGCCCACCACGATGCAGTTTATGACAGGTGCCGCCCCAGGTGGCCGCAGCACCTTCACAGAGGGCGGAGCCCCAGCACTGCCTGGGGGTAGGAGGCTGCTGAGCCCCCCCAGGTCCTGAGCAAACTCTTCTGGCTGCAGGGGAGGCCCCTGGAGGAATGCAGCTGGGACCTCCCAGGAAGGGGCACTGCCCCTGCCAAAGACTTGCTCCAAGAGAAAAATGCCCAGCAGGCTCTCTAATCCCTGCTGCATTTTGAGTTTGTTGTCCTTTCCCCTCTGGAATGAGATCACGGCACGACCTACGCATCCTACACAAGCTTGGAATCAAGGACCAGAAGCAAAGTGCCCAGGCTGTTAATTCTTGCGGAGGACAGGAGCTGAGGCATCACCCTCAGAGAGATGGAAATTCCCACACCGGCAGAGAGAGGCCAACCTTGGAAGAGGTCCACTTGCTGGTAAAAGCTCTCTCACACACCGCTTCAAGTTATTTTCATAACTTAAAAAAATATGTAAGCAGGAGTTTCTCTGTGATATTTGGTAGGTCTAATATCCCCACCCAGCTCTTCCCCTGGTGGAGCAAGTACTCTTTTTCTTTCCTTCACTCCTAATTCCACGTGAAGTTATATAAAACCTCACAGGGAGCCTTCCCAATCATTGCTCCCAATCTTTTTTTTTTAATAGTTGTAGTTGGGGCTGGGGTTGTGGCTCAGAGGTAAAGTGCTTGCCTAGCATGCAAGGGCACATGAAATAAAATAAAGATATTGTGTCCACCTATAACTGAAAAATAGATATAAAAAATAGTTGTAGATGGACAGCATAACTTTATTTTATTTATTTTTTTTTATGGTGCTAAGGATCAAACCCAGTACTTCATGTGTACTAGACAAGTGCTCTGCCATTGCGTTACAGCCCAGCCCATTGTTTCCAATCTTTAAAACAGCTACTCAGTGTTTGATAGTCTTGAAAACACTTTGAAGAAGCAAAGCAAGTTAATCAGGAGCATTCAKGGTACACTAGAGAGCCAGCTTTGCTCCAGGAAGTCAGCAGGGTCAGGGGAGCTCCACCCCTTTCCCATCTGAAGTAAGGTGGCTGGAGGAATACCCTTCACTGACCCTCACAGGTCAGAGTGTACATTCAAAGTAATCATCTTTCCTGAATTCTAGTTTTCAAAGCAATACTAAAAATGTGCAGATATGGTTCCAGGGGAATAAATATTTCAGTTCAAGTAAATTTAAAGGTAACATTCTCATTTTTTCCTAATAATGGTGTATATTTTCTTTCACTATTGTAGATGCAACAGAACATCGCGCTTGAGGTTTGTTGGGGGATCCTTAAGCTTTGTAGATTGTAAACATTTTTTTTTTAAGAGAGAGAGAGAGACAGAGAGAGAGAATTTTAATATTTATTTTTTTTTTAGTTTTCGGCAGACATAACATCTTTGTTTGTATGTGGTGCTGAGGATCGAACCCGGGCCGCATGCATGCCAGACGAGCACACTACCGCTTGAGCCACATCCCCAGCCCAGAATCTGTGCTACTTAGAAGCTGCATTCTCTATTTAAAATATATTCACTCAAGATTAAAGAGCAACACAAGAAGACTACACAGTGTACTAATTTTTAAGTCCTTTAATTTTCTAATTACTTTTTAGTTGTCAATGGACCTTTATTTTATTTATTTATATATAGTGACGAGGATCAAGCCCAGGGCCTCACACATGCCAGGCAAGTCCTCTACCAATGAGCCACAACCCCAGCCCTTAATTTCCTTTTGAAAAAAGGAAATAACCAAGGTTTGGTGATAGAATCTGATGTTCTCTTTATGGACATAGAGTAAATTAAAATGTTAAAATTTTTTTAAATTTATTTTTTAGTTGTAGTTGGACACAACACCTGTATTTCACTTGTTTATTTTTTTATATTGTGCTGAGGATCGAACCCAGGGTCTCACATATTTGAGGCGAGCACTCTACTGCTATAACTAAAAAATAAATACAAAAAATAGCCCCTATATTTTTTTAAAATAGTTGTAGATGGGGCTGGGGTTGTGGCTCAGAGATAAAGTGCTTGCCTAGCATGTGAGTAAATGATTAATGTGCTGATGTCATAACAAGGTTTAGAGGGAGGCACATCTCACACAATAGGGTGAACACCCAATCATCATACTTATGAACTGAGGGATCAAAATGTTAGAATTTTTAACCTCTTGCAATGCTAGGGATAGAACACAGGGCCTTGGGTATGCTAGGAAGTGCTGTACCATTGAGCTACACCCCCCAGTCCTTAAAAAGGATTGTTTTAAATTTAAATGGCTCCCCAGAAGTTGCTGATGGTCCTCTATTCCCCTTCTCCCACATGCCTATGACAGGTAGCTGCATTCAAACTTCTGACTGCTTGACAACTAACCTTCTTCAGGATAAGCTCCTGCTCCAGGGGGCCACCAAAACCCAAGGGCCCAGCCTAGACTTTGGGAGCAGGARATGTGCATGTGGGCATGTGTGTGCACCTGCTTGTGGTTGTCCTATGTCTGTTTCTGTTGAGTAGCCAAACCTGCTGCCCGTCTCTGCCTGTCTGAGGGGTTCTGATGGGTCTCTGGCATCTCTAGAACACCAGTCTCCTCTGCCTGGCCTGCTTTCTTCAGTCAGCTTGAGTTGCTGATCCCAGGGACTCATCTGACACTCAGGTCTTCTCTAGTTCAGAACTGCTCTGTAAGACAGCCTAGGGCATGGCTCTGCTCCTAGGGTGGCACTAATCCTGCCTGTGGGTCCCTAACTCACGGTTGCAGGAGTGGAAATCTTCCTTTTCCTGGAAAAAGGCCCAGAGCATCTTTGCTTAGCTTTCTCACTGCAGTTCTGGTACAGCAACAAKCAAACCTTTGAGGAGAGTTGTCAACATAGGTTAGCAGCAGTTATCAGAGCTAAACCAGAGACCCCACAGCTCCATTTCAAGGAACTGATGCAAGGCCTGGCAGGGAGGTGGAATTAAACAGAAGTTCACTAAAATTGTGCATGACTTTTGTGACTTGCTCTCTACCTTCATCAAGGGCTGTTTTCTCATGGAAAAGTAACGATGTTGGACAAAACTTCTTTGACCCAGTTAAAAAAATTGTTTTTATTTTAAATTCAAGCATTCTCACACACTGCTAGTTGAAATACTAGCAAGTTCACATGATACATGAACTTTGGAGTTAGACAGATGGGTTTCAAATTCAACTATGAACTTATACAATCATTCTGTGTTATTTTTTAAAAAATAAAAGGTGAAAGATTTATATGATCTGAAAAAGAACCATGTATCCCTTTCTTTTTTTGCAGTACCAGGGTTTGAACCCAGGGGTGCTCTACCACTGAGATATACTCCCAGTCCTTTTTATTTTTTATTTTGACACAGGGTCTTGATAAATTGAGCAGGGTGACATTCAACTTTCGATTCTCCTATCTCAGCCTCCTGGACTGCTGGGATTACAGACAGTGCCACCATGCCTGAGTCCTTATTTTTAAAATAAAGATTGAGTTACTTTCTAAGATCTTTGTGAAGATGAGTTAATTGATATCTAAAGTCTATCTTAGAGTTAGCTCAATAGAAAGTAGCTATTAGAGGGGAAGGGGAGGTAGTGAGGAATGAAACTGACCAAACTTACATTATGTACATGTACACATATATCACAATAATTCCCACTATTTTTTTTAAATTTATATGTGGTGCTGAGAATCGAACCCAGGGCTTCACACATGCTAGGCAAGTGCTCTACCACTGAGCCACAATCCCAGAACATCCCCCCCMCTTTTTTTTGTACTGGGAATTGAATCCAGGGGCACATAACCACTGAGCCACACTCCCAGGCCTTTTTTGAATTTTATTTAGAGACAGAGTCTCACTGAGTTACTTAAGTCCTCACTAAATTGCTAAGGCTGGMTTTGAACTTGCAATCCTCCTGCCTAAGGCTGCTGAGCTGCTGGGATTACAGGCATGTACCACCATGCCCAGCCTGATTCCCACTATTATGTATAATTATAATGTACCAATAAAGAAAATAAAAAAAAAGAAATATGACCTCTTAAAACTGAAAAAAAATGTTGATATTATTTCCTTTAAGGAAACTGACAATATGTAAGCTATAAAAATGTACATTCTTTTATCTCCCAAATGTAGTTCTGTTGTAGGGACAAATGAGGCAAGGCACCGAAGATAGCAGGAAACAGTTTTATTTGGCTGCAGCCAGGTTCAGAGGGCACAGCTTTTGCTGTAATCAATTAATCCCCTGAACCCTGAGTTCAGGGAGTTTCAGAATTTTATACCCAGCATGTAAGGGGAGGGGCTCAGAAGTTCACAGTCTGCAGAAGTTCACATAAAAACAACTTTTTCTTTCACTGTTCTGGRTAAGTTAATTCTTCAAGGACAACACCTGAGAGGGGGAGAGCTTCATCTCCCTTTTCTTTCCTTCCCCTGCCAGCTGTTACCATGGGCCCATTTGTAACTTATCTTAAAAATGTAGATATCTCTGTGAAGCCCAGCTCAAGGCCAGAGGCCTTGTTTATACATATCTTCAAAGTACTATACTGGATACATTTGTAGTAAGGGGGTATCCAGCACCTGGAGTGCTGGTATCTTCTTGGCCAGTGGCCAAGTAAATAGGGCGACCTGAAAATAGAAAGTTTATCTACAATGAACTCTTTTGCAGAGACTCTTTTGCTGACAGTCCTAAAATCCGCCATGGTGAAGAGGGCTTTTCTGTGGAGAAAGGGGGTGCCACTTTAGTTCTAGAAATATTCTGAAATAACTCAATGTAAAAATGTAATATAAAGGTGTTCACTGTAGTATTTTTACTTGTAATGGCAATACATTTGGGCCAATTTAAATGTTCTAAAATGGGAGACTGGGCAAATAAAGTACAGTAAATTGCAAAAGATGGCATACCATATGGATTTCAGAATAGCCTCATGTTTGAAAAGGACATTTAATCAGACAGTAAAATGCTCATGGTATTTTGGTAAGTAAAAAACATAGGTTAGCTCTAGTTCTGGCAAAATGACAGATTAGACAAGGTACTTCCAAGCCTTAAGAGAGGTGTGAAGCTTCTGGCCACCACCAGTGGACAAGTTCAACAATAGAAATTCCCAAGTTACCACAATGGCTCAGTACCAGTTGGCTAGCATCAAGGAGGCAGAGCCAGGAGGTTATGTCTGACAGTAGAAACTCCAAATACAACAACCCCAACTTGAACTAGTGCTTACTGTGAATGGACAAAGCTACTGGGTAAGTCCAAGAGAAAAAAATATTGGTTTGCCACTTCTGGCAAGTGGATTTTTTAATGGAAAAGAAAAAAATTAATTTTCCTTGGTTAAAACACAAACTTAAGACTTTAAGAAAATGAAAAGACAAGTCAGTGTCTCACAGTTCTTAAAGTGATTAAGAGATCCGTTTTCTTTCTGCATAAAACAACAGAGTTTATCATTGATGTACAAATAATTAATATTCTACTTCATAAGACCATTTGATCAATAATAACATAGTAACTGATTACAAGGAACTTCAGAACAAAATAAGAATTACTTAAATAGTAAACTGCTCTTTGTGATCCTGCAGACATAAGTTAGCCTCACAATCAGCAATGAGGAAACTGCTGGTGG